TACCTCTCATCCCTGTCTCTCTCTCTCTCTCTCTCTCTCTCTCTCTCTCTCTCTCTCTCTCTCTCTCTCTCTCTCTCTCTCTCTCTCTCTCTCTCTCTCTCTCTCTCTCTCTCTCTCCCAATGCTCCCTCTCCTTTGGGAAAATGGTGGGATCTGTCCTGAATTCCCAATGCCTTGCGAGATACAAGGGTGTAAATTGGAACTAAATTGGAACTTACAGTAAAGTAAAGTGTGGGTAGCAAGATAGTGACTGCAGCACACTCACCATCAGTGGCCCGGATGGTGTTGTATGGTGAGCTTTAGGGGTAGACAGGGGTGCTGGTCGGTCTTTACGCGCGGGCGAGCGTGTCCGCGTATTTGCGTGAAAGCGCACAGAGGATAAATGTTCAAATTGTTCAGGATTATTCCTCACGTTAAAGGAAATCGCTGCCCCGTTGTTGGGTGGGGGGGGGGGATGATGGGCTAACTTTATGATTCGCCTCTGTAAGCTTGTAATTGTATATACACCACCACAACCACTACTACCACCACCACAACTACTACCATCACCAACACTACTACCATTACCTCTCTCACCCACACACTCTCCCCCACACACACTCTCCCCTTGCCTACACCAAGAGGGATCACCCCACAAGCACCTCACATGAGGAAGGCTTTACAAAATTCTGCCCCTGGATGAGTTGTAGTTGCTGAGCGCCGTTTGTGGCTGAGCACCCCTTGTGACTGAGCACCCCTTGTAGCTGAGCGCCCCTTGTGGTTGTATTCTCACTATTATCCTTCCTTCCCCTGACACCTCCTTTACTTCCTCCTCCTCCCCCTACTTCCTTCCCAGCACCATTACCCACACCTGCTCCCCCGGCCCCAGCTCAGACCGTACAGCCCCGCAGGCATTAACAAAAATGGTTTTATCCTGTTATCCTGCAGGCAACACTCACCTCGCTGGCAGCCTCCAACTAATAGCTGGAAACACTACACAAATTCGTTATCGTTAACAGTTGGAAAATATTTAAGTTGTGGTTGAATGTGGCTCTTGTGGTGTTGGGGATGTGTTGGGGATGTGTTGGGGGGAATGGGCTCTGCACAGATGACATGAGAGAGATGTGGTGCCATGAACATGAGGCTAGGACGGCTATGCAATGGACCTGGTGATTGTGGACACTCATTTATACTCCTGCTGCTGCTGCTGCTGCTGTTGCTGCTGCTGCTGCTGTTGCTGCTGCTGCTGCTGTTGCTGCTGCTGCTGCTGCTGCTGCTGCTGCTGCTGTTACTCATGTCTCTGGGTAGAGAGTACAGAAGCTGTTGCAACAACTGCTCATTTCAGCGACAGACAGCTTCAGCCCGCAGCTGCGACGAGCGTGTGGTCCCGTGGAGGCTAGTACACCGGCGTGAGGAAACACCCACATGACCCCCAACCTGAGGCGCTACATCTCCTGAAGCCCTGAGCTGTCTTGAGGAACCTCCCGGAACCACACGGATGACCTTCATGGTAATGAGAAATAAGTTGTGGTCCAGACACACAGAGAGGTGTACCCTGCCTCTCGGTGTATATACACTTGGCAGATTATTTCAGTACATACACACACTGAGAGGTATTTTTGGTGGTGGGTCAGTGAGCGCTTGTGTGTGTGTGTGTGTGTGTCCTTAAGTCTTCATTGATTGATAAGGGTTATCAGCAACCTATGAGTTGGTGGTAAGCCACAAGACTTGAGTGTGTCAGGGGCGAGCCCTCAGGCTCCCCCCTGACACCGGATCTTCATCAGGATCTTCAGCAAGGAGATCTGGATCCCCGGATCACGGGGGAATCCGGATACCCTTCCTGGCATCCGGATCTTCAGCAGGAACACTGGGGACCACCATTCCTCTCGCGGCAAGACGACATTTTATACCATTAACAGCGAGTAGTCAAGATTGATTAA